TATTAGACGTTGTGTTTATTTATACATGCGCAACTCCATACGGAGAGAACTTATGTATTGACCGTACTGTTAGGCGATTAAAGGCTAATTTATACCTTCTGCTAAAGATATGTAAAATTTTCGAAAACAATATGTCTACGTCAACACACTATATTGTTTCTCTTAATAAAAAAACCTAGTGAATCTTCGCATTTAGCCAATACCAACATAAATTATGACTTGATGGAATAATGGGTTAATAGCAGTAATCTATACAAAATTATAAAGAGGTAAAGTTTGTGAGTTTGTGACGTTGTAGGGGGTAATTTCTGGATCTACTGAACCTATTTAGATGAAATTTGGTAAGAAGATAGTTTGAAACCCTGGGAAGGTCATAGGATACTTTTTATCCCGGAAATCATAGTTAACGTCACTTTAAAACTGATAGTTGTTTTAACTTTTACGCTATGAAATAGCAGACAGACATAGAAACTTAAAAAGAAAGTTAGCTAGATACTAATCAGACGGAGATAAAAATTTATATGATAAAAAAAATCTGGCAACATACGGAACCCGCGACCGTTTCTTTAATTAGTTAATTAACCCACTGTGCAACGGCTGTCGTCTACATAAATGTACTAATGTAGTCTTATATTTGCAGTTGTGCTTTAACAATTAATTATTTTCGTTATATCTTTCCGTTCAATTTGTAATTTCAATAAAAATAGAGCATTCAATAGAGGCCATATAGAGGTATAATAGGTGTTCGTTATACTAGAAATATAGTAAATACTAATTAGTTTATTTAAGCTCAGCAATATAAAAAAGGTACTTAAAATACAGGTACTGAATGTTTGTTTATATATCCGTAATTACTAAAATGTGTTTCTCAAATGTTATAACTTAAAATTCGCATAATTTTCTATACACTTTTATTCGCGCTAATTCGACTCAAATTTAACCATTTCTTTAATAATTTTCTGTATCTATCGGTCTGTCTATCATCTATGCGATGGAGTATTAGGCACTCACTGCACTCAACATATCCAATGCATTTTGAGATCCCACATCATGATTGTCTAACGATTGCAACGTAAATTGTAACATGAAATTCACTGTGTAATGTTAACAAAATTGTATATTCCCATGCACTTAAATTCCCGAAACTGATTTCACAATCTGCTAGTGAAAGGTTACAAATTCAATTTCACATGTCGAAACCCTACGAGCGAGACTTAATAACGACTTGACCTTTACTTCGACAAACACTTAGACAACCACATTGACTATATATATAAGGACAAAATATATAATAATTGTTTAGTGATTGAGTTAGTTTAATTATTATCGCTCATAACTTATAATCATTATCTCATTTTTACGGCTAAGTATCTGACTCATACATATTTCCATAGAAATGGCTTAAAATTGGCTGTATAAAAAATATTATAATTATAATTAAGGTATTCAAACGGTTAGTTAAAGAAATTACAATAATAAATGAGGTAATTAAAAACAATTTTAATATGTGAAACTAACAAGAAGAACACAACAAAATATTCAATATGATGTTCCGATATTTAGAGTAATAACGACGTTAAAAATTAATTAAAATAAATTATGATCTAGTAATAATAACACGAGTATACCTATCTATTACCTAGCGAGAAAGTGAGAATAGACGCTCTTGAGATGTGGTGCTGGAGAAGAATGTTGAGAGTGTCTTGGAACGAATTCCGGACTAATAAGTCCATTCTCGAAGAACTTGGCATCAAGCAACGTCTATCCTCCACTGTAAAGTCTCGCATTCTCACTTTCTTTGGTCATGTAACAAGACGTGATGATGTTTCGATTGAACGTTTAGTGGTTCAAGGAAGAGTAGAGGGCACTAGAGCACGTGGCAGAACGCCCATGAGGTGGACAGACCAAGTGAGGGCTGCGATGAATGTTCCCTTACACGAATGCTATTAGAGAGGAGTGGCGACGAGTAGTCAAGCGTGCCTCAGCGCTCAAGTGACGACCACGACCACTTTGTCAAGAGTGTAACGACTTAGAAGAAGATACCTATCTATACATATAATAAAATTGTAACTAAGTCGAATCTGTACATAAAATATTTTTTGGAAAATCTAATTGAAATAAACATTATTATCGATAGAGTCCGAATCTATAGTTTTTAGAATTTTTCGTTTGTCTGTCTGTCTGTCTGTTACCGCATCACGAGAAAACCACTGGACAGATTTTGATGAAATTTGGTATGATGATAGCTGGTTATCCGGGTCAACATATAGGGTACTTTTTACCGCGGGAAAATATCTCATTTCTGAGAAATAATACAAAAACTGAATTGTAAGAGTATACTAAAATGTAAAACCTAAGAATTTGGTTTTTGGTCATCGCGGGCAAAGTTAGTTACTTAATATATCATGATGAGTATTATATGTATGTACATTGCAAAACAAATAGTAGAGTTTGGCGAAGTCCGGCGCTGACTTATCTTTGTTGATGACATTCCAGCTCGACTACCGATACGCGGAGCGGACTGACTGCGAAATGCTTTTAGCGCCTCAGCACAACATGACAAGCCCACTGCGTTGAAAAATATAACTTAGATTGTGGAAATAAGGTACAAAATAGACTTTCAACTAGGCGAAGCTGACTTCGAGGAAAAGAAACCTTATTCATCAAAAATTAAAGTCGTTTTCAAAGTCACGTTGCATGCGGGCTTCGAACAATACGCAATTCACCTTCGAACGCGTCGGGTTGCGGTATTGCGGCTTCATTGTGTTAAAATAACGATGAAGTTGGATTGGAAACGGGCACAATGCGACCGATAAAGTTTATTTTTATAATATAAAAACGGTGATAGCGTTCAGTTTGATACAATGCAATGTCAGTAGAAGGGACAGCTTAAAAATAGTAAAGGATTTTTTTAACATATAATATATTAGAAAAGGCGAGTAAGCACAGAATTTACATAAATTAATAAATTATTCAATAAAGTCCCACATAATATTGGGAATATTTGACAACTTTTATCATTCCTATATTTTGGAATATTATGTGTATTTTATTATAACAATTTCTATTTAGTTTATAGCCCACTCTTTCCTCGAGCGTCTTGTATAATTTTCCAATGAGACTTCTTCATATATTCACTGGGTGTTTGTCGAGAGTCGAGAACCCGACGAGCCGAACGGTTGACGTCATGTAGTCATGTTAAACCTCTACCAGCCAAGCGACTAAGTTAGCAGTTATTCCGTCGAGGCTCTATACATTGCTGGTTTTACCTGCAGCTGTATTAGTATTTCAGAGAGCAGGCAGCATTGTAACTTATACATCGCCGACTGAATAATTTAAAAGGAGGTTTATAGTGAAGGAGTATCGCGGTCACATAACCGGTATTCGAGTATTCAGTCGCCATTCGCCCGGTCCGAGCGCTGGCTTGATATGTTTTGAGAAAGCTGTGTTCGGCAATCGTTGACGTTAACAAAACAAGACTGCTTGCTTGGCCGTTCGTTACAGGCCAGTGTGATAAAGCGAATACTTTTAAGGCGTATTGACTTGAGAGTGATATAATGAGCAATGAAAGTAAAAGGGTTTATGTGTTATATTTATAACGCGTTATTGGAGAATGTATTTACTGGAAAAATACAAGTAGTAAAAGTCGGTCTGACCTATAAGTAACACATGAGTATAATGCAATCCCCAAACATACTATGTCCTGCATTAAACAGTAGAAAAGGTATAGAAATGTAATGAACGACATTTGCAACGAATAAAAATCCGAATCTTGCTACTTTGACATATATGTAGGTATACACAGTATTTTCACAAGGCGCTAACAAGATAAATATTGTTTTAAATCGAAAACACAGCACGTGCAAATAACCTGTTAAATAAGAAGCCACATCTATTTATATTAGACTAATAACAATTTACAAACGTATGAGAGATAATAAAATAACTTACATAATACATTACTGTCGACCTTGTTTCCTATTCATGAATGAACCCTGCCAGCCTTGAGATCAAATATCTAGGTCCTTACAGTCAAACAAACCTAAATGGAGGTATTATTCCGACCCCAGTGAATGACCCCATCAAGGACGTTTGGAGGGAAGCTCGTCAATTGCGCAAGTGATTTTATATTACCCTAAGTACCTACCTACTATACATTGGTTATATTTCAGAATAAGTACCAAAGTATTTACTGAATCTGTAGTAAGAACTATTTCGTTTATTTACGGTTTTCACATTGTTGAGAAACGTTCAATTATCTATCAAATAATGTATATTTATTTATAGACAGGCATAATACTCAATAGCGAAATCAACTGTTTCTTTGCATAACTACAGTTGTCTCAGTTCCACTGTGTTTACATCAGTTGTATATAGATTGGACAGTTCACCCTAATTTAGATAAATTTGTAAGGCGAAGTAGAACGGAGGCCGATGGTCCGGCACATAAGGAGTGACGCGTCGACACCCGGATCGGGTGGAAAGGTCCTGTTTTGCGTGCTCTCCGTCGGTGGGGGTAAGTTTTTCACGAGACCCTATATACCGCGACCACCCCTCACTCGTACATAAGGTGGGTGGAGGGTGGTTCGCGCCCGCAAAAGGGGCAAAATACGGTGTACTCTGGGCGCCCGCTCTATGTGGGTCAATGTCGGGAAAGCCCGCGTCTGCTAGTGACGAAGTATGCACAATGAATCTGATCAACACGCCTTTGGCGAAACTACGAATCCAACAAACTACGATTCTGATTACACTTTTTAAACTTTTTTACCCGATTTTTCTTCACTTGTGGAGTTTTACTTTATAAATCCTTGATCCACATGATATCAGTTGCTTTCAGAGTACATGAATCTCAATGTTATAACTGATAGTAATGTTGCAGTATTTAGTTAAAAAGACAAAACATTTCGCATTCGTCTCATAAAATATTTCAACTTAATTCATGTCAGGACAATGTAACCAACTATGAACTAGAAAAATGACTAAAGTAGTTAATTACTTACCAACAGCCGGTGACATGGATCGTGAGCCACTCGAGCCGGTCGGGCTCGGCGTGGGCCTCAAGTGCGGCGTTGAAGCGCGCCCTGCGCCACCGCTGCCGCCCGAGTCATTGCTGTTCTGACCGGTCAGATCCTGAAAAAAAAAGGAAAAATAAAATAATTTGTGTTACTACTCGTATTAGTTATTCTTGTACTACAAAATATTTTAAATATGTATGTAATGTATAAACTAGAAACACGGTTCATAGCTCTATAGCCCCACCTCCGTCATTTCAGCACCAGAAATAAATACTTCTTAGAAGTTAAAAATGAAAATAAAATGTATATCTTGTCGTTTCGTCAAGGCGTCCGGATATTTTATACCATAAACTATTATAGTCCGATTTTTAATTCCACGGAAATATGACTGCCGTCATTCTTTGACAATTCAGATATCATAAACCTTTTCTGCTTTCAATTTTTTTAATATAAAATAACAAAAAATATGAAAAAGAATTAGATCAAGTAAGCTACATGTATGACATTTTAAATAGTCTTTGTTTTGTGCATTCAATACACACTAACTATAACATACATTTTTAATGGCTAAATGAAAAAAAATAGAGTAAAACAAACTATTTCTTAAATAAAAATATTTATTAATCATTATCACTTATATCATCATTGTCGTCATCATCATCCACTCGGATTATGTAAGAATAACACACTCTCCATCAGATCATTAAGAGGGCACATTTTATCCTCTTCTTTAATAATATGGTTTATGCATTCTTGCCATTTTTCAGCTGTGATATTATTTATGCCCTCTAATATCAAATGTTTCACTTCCGCCATCTTAAAAAAATTATTATTTTTAGCCACATACCCTTTTGCTTGAGCCCATATCAACTCTATGGTGTTGGGCTCACAGTGGTATGGGGGCAGACGGAGCACAGTAATACCTTGTGCGGCAGCCATCGCAATGACGGGCCAGGTTGTAGGTTCATGGTCAAAAATTCAACAAATAAATTCAAATAAACCAACTTTAACAAGTAACCAAACAAGGCGTAACAGCAAATTAAAAGTTAAAACTGAACAATAAATCGCAATAAACTCTGTGAGTACATTCGGCCATTCAGAGTAGGTAGAAGCCGAATAACATGCATGGCAGACACAACATAACGCGACGTAAATATTTTTTTTAATTTTAGGTTTTGGCATTTTGTTATATTGGCTCTTACAAGAAGCAAAGATTTTACAAACAAAGGGGTTTTCCTTAAAAAGGGTTGCAACCTATGGATTATTTGAGTGGGATTCCTGTAATAGAAAAATAATTTCCTTAATAATTATTGTAACTTCAATAATATGATAATAAAAAATATAATTACCATTTTAGAGTTGTCAATAATTTTTTAAGTCTTAGGTACTTTTTCTAATTGAAACCTTAAATTCAAGAAAGATTTATTTTTTTATTTTGCTAAAAAGCTTTCCGTTTTTAGTGACAATGTTTCAAAGTTGACAATACTGAAATGTCAGAATTCCGTTGAATTAAAAATCAGACTTTAGTGCTAAGTAGACAAGCTGACGCTGTTGTGTATTGATGTCAAGAGTGCCTTAAATAGAAAAAAAAACTATTTCGGAGTGGAGAAAACAAAAAAGGTAAGCCACTTTCAAAGTTCCTAACACATGTCTATACCTATAATAAAACAGTAAGCTAATGAATCCGATGAGCACGTCTTACGCGAAAGTACTGTACCGATGTTAACAAAATCTTGTGAAGTGATAACTTATTACTCGAGTCAACATTTAGGATACCTTTTACTACTGGGGAAACTTCCATTCCATTTACCGGGGAAAACACAATAACTGGTTCTATCCAGTCATCCTTAGTAACTAAAATGGCTTACGCTGGCTAAACCTTAAGAGATACATCAAAACAATGTACTAGACAATTGTAGGTCTTAAAAAGGCCTACAGGAACGTCTGAAATAGTATGTCTATCTTCTAAGGTACAATCCCAATAACTATTTTTATTATATATTAAATTTAATGTTGCGACTCACTGACTGACTTATAAACGTTCAGCCCAAACGGATGATGACAGATCAGCACTACAAAAAAAACAAGACCGGAAAACACTTCTTAAGGTGAAAATGGAAGGGAGGGGGAAGGGAAGGGGGAGTTGAAGTTTGGATGGGGGATCAATCATTTCTCAAGTCAGCGATATTTTTTTTATTGGTAAACCTATTTTTCCATAACTGCTAACATTGTACATAATATACACGATAGATTTTTGAGACGGGACAGTAAGGGCCTACCAACATACAGGTAACAAAGAATATTTCGAGTTGAATTAATCTTTTTTCTGTATAAAATCTATGTGAAAAGTTTTTGGCGATTTCTGTCATTATAGTACTCATACCTTAAATGGTCCCATAGTCTTTTGATCCCTATATGAAATAAGATCGATTGACATAAAAAAATTTTTTTTATTAATTTAGCATTTTTTTGCCAACTGTACAATTTTTTCCAAAATCTGTGAATGCAGTTCAGAATAACTCAAAAAGTTATGGATGGTCTCCTAAGAACGTTTTCCTGTAACTATAGCAGTTAAGGTACCTGCACTTACTGTCCTGTCTCAAAAATCCACCTTTATTCTACACTAATCTTTAAAACGTAGGTACTTAGGAACGAACCCGAGCGAAGCGGGGGTGAGTCGCTAGTATATGGTATACTTAAATCTTTTGATATTTTTTTGTCTATGTAAATAGTGTATACCAAATCTCGGGACAAATCTAAGAATAAAATTAAATTTTTCATATATTAAAAAAAAAACAAGTGTACTACTTATATACTTTTTTCTTTTTTTTTTTTTTGATTAAAATACTTTACATTTGGATAATCAATAATTATAAGTAGGCTTTGTACATAGAGGCATTTTTTTAAATAAATAATAATAAACTCTAAGAGATGGATTGTCATTCAGATTTGAGATTCAGATCAAAGTAGAATATTATTGAAGAATCCAAATTGTCCTCTTAGCTGATCAAGATTTACAGTGCGACTCATAAGATGAAAGTTGACAGTTGAGTTTATGTCACAATAATTTATCCAGTGAATTGTTTACAGTCCTAAAGTATACTCCTTATATTTTAGGGTCAAAAATCATAATTAAACATAACACGTATCAAATAAATAACAAAATATACTGGACACCGGAATTCGGAATATAAGGACAAAAAATATACACCACCTATATTAGATAAAATACTTTGGCCATCATTTCATCATCAGCCCAAGGATACATCTATAAAATAGACAATTACGATGATGATCGAACAAAGCGCACCACAACATTTTTCACGGATAAATAATATTTGGCAACCAAATAAAAACCGGGGGAATGACATTACCTATCGGTCTAATATGGAATTAAAATGAAATAATTCTTAATCAAAAAAAAATGTAAGCAAACATTATGTAAGAAGTTGGTAAAGTGATAACAACAAAAGCTCAATGAACAATTGATCTAAATCCTAAGGTAGTGGTTACACTTTTTATTCGCAAAAAATAAAAGGAAATTAAGACGATAAGTGTATTATTTGCTAGCGGCACTCACCGTTTCAAAGTAACCAATGGTCCGCCAATCGTAAATCAATCGTGGGTAGCTTTCAATCGCAACGCTACCGACAACGAAACAAGCCACCGGAATATAAAGTTCACAGTCGGAAGCAAAGTGCAGTAACACAAAGTTGAAGCTTTTTATAGTTGAAACGGAATCGTAAAATAAAGCTGCGAGAACGGCGTACAGTGTACACACTGGTTGCGAGAGCGGCGACGACCCCCCGCCGCCGAGGTTAGCTTTGCAGCGCGGCCGCGAGAGGCTCGCGCGCGGGGTGTGCGCGGGGCGTCTGTGCGGGGTTCACGGGGTCCGCGGGGGTGTGCGCGGGGCTCGCGGGGGGGCGCGATAACCGCTGATGTTTTTGCCGTGCTCCAGCTCGCTCGCTCGACGCAGCGGCGCGTTCTTCATTTAGTACAGAGTCCATTATCTGTCGTGCGTCCCGCTCGCACCCATCGCCCGTCGCGCCTCGCCGCACCGGCCGCTGTTTTATTGCCAGCCGACGATTTTAACGTGCGCTCGCAACGTCCGGAGCACAAAAGTTTTTATGGAAATTTCATTCCGAATGCGCCTCGTTCGCTCGCTCGCTCGGGAACGTCAATATAAAAGCACGATAACGAACGGACGAGTCAATTAATTATTATTGTTGGAAGCTGTCGGAACGTGCTGGGCGGCTTTATCTAGATACAGTACTGGATGTGTTGTGCTCTCTGAAGCGAGCGTATTTTACATTGTATTACAGAATTGATTCGAGTAAAGTTGTAAGCCATTGCAAATTTAAACGTATCGGATTTTGAAGATCTTTTTATTTAGCCTTCAAGATGCATTTGCAAAGGAATATTGGGTACCTACTAAGAATAAATCATTAGTCAAAATGTAAGAAACATATACGTTGTTAATATTTCCATAACCATACTTATTATAAACTAGCGACTCACCCTCGTTTCGCTCGGGTTCGTCCCTAACTTGCTTCTTTATACAAACTTTCATCCCCATTTTCACCCCCTTAAGGAATGATTTCCGGGACAAAAAGTATCCTATGTCCTTTCCAGGGTCTCAAACTATCTTCTTACCAAATTTCATCTAAATCGGTAAAGCAGATCCAGAGATTACCCCCTACAACGTCACAAACTCACAAACTTTATCTCTTTATAATATTAGTATAGATAATAATAGGTATGGAAACGAACTGATTAAAATTGGCAAATTAAGAGAGAAAACTTAAGACATAAGAGCATATTTATGGTTGTAAGTAAAATATATACATATTTTCATTTATTTAAAACCACAAATGGAAGTCAAATAGGTTTTTATACAATACACTCACAATAAAATAAAATATAATTATTAAGTAATCTCCACATGTAATGGGCAATCGTAAATGTACATTATACACGTAGTTTTTTACCTAAAGGCCCCTTATACATTATATGAGATATTGAAATCAACAAATATAAATTGAAAATACACGTTGCACGAAGTTTCCCTTTACTCGGTGGTTTACAAGCTTTTACTATTATAGGCAGTTATATACA